CGCGCGGCAGAGTTGCCGCACAGCCGTGCAACGAGCAAAATGTTCGATGCTATCCTCGTAGCGGCCGCACCCGAACGTGCAAAAACCATTCGTCTGAAACCTGCGCCGTGTGCACCACCCGTTGCAGATGGTGCGTAAGTATGCTGCGCCGACTTTCGGGGCAGCCTTCTTGCCCAAAACTCTGAAGACCCTCATGGCTCGCTCACCTCTGTGGCCAGGGAGGGTCTGGAGTGGCCACCTCTGGAGCCTCCTTGAGATATGGATGAAGCCCGCCTGCACGGGAGTTGCCCGGAGCAGCCGGGCAATCCGGCCTTGCCACCCAGCCCTCTTTGGCAGGACCCTCGCTGCTTCCGACACGGTGCCGTTTCGGCGCTCCAAGACGGCGGCGGCTGTGCCCAAATTCTCCAGAAAGCTCCATCGCGCCCACTGTTGCTGCCAGCCCAGGTGCCCGATCGAGAGTGCATCGGATACCCCGTCGGGCATCTGGGCGCGTAGTGCGGCCACTCGCCCCGCCACACGAAGACCTCCGTGACGAGCGTTCTCAAACGTCACCACCCTCAGCTTGGCCGCCTGCGTCGTGCTGGCGACGTCGAGCAGCGCCGTCGGCATGTGCAGGCTCCGCAGATCTTTTAAGCAGTTCGGCGACATCCACCCGCGGGGGCCCGGAAGGAGGGCCTGGCAGGCCTGGAGCTCCACCTGCGGCCACCGCGACGGGAGCTCCTCCAGCTGCCCCACGAAGAGAAGGACCGACGCGATGTAGACCTGGTACGCCTGCAGGGTGAGAGCGAGGCCCAAACCCAGCCGCCCCCAGAGCCTCGCCCTGCCCAGGTACTTGGCCAAGGGGGCGTCCCAAGATTTCTCCTCGCGGCCGGGGCCGACGAAGAAGCCGAGGTACTTGGCCGAACTCGCAATCTGAATGCCAGCCCAGCACGGGGCCAACGCAGCAACTCGAACCCGCAGAGCATCGTGTTCGCAGCGAAACAAAGGTACCAGAACGGTTTTCTCGATGTTGAGGGCCAGACCGGAGACCGCCTCGAAGTCCAAGAAGAACGACTGCAACTGGTTCAGGCTCGTCATGCCCTCCCGCAGCACCATGGCCAAGTCGTCAGCCCAGGCCCGGGAGCAGGAGGCAGCAATCGATCGACGCGCCCGGCGTAGGAGCAGATCTGTAAAATAACTTAATGTAAAGAAATAAAAAACAAAAAAATAAAAAAATAGAAAAAAAGAAAAATAAAAAATAAAAAAAAGAAAAAAAAAACAAAAATAAACGTTAAAAAAAAAATAAAAAAATAAAAAAAAAAAAAAAAAACCCAAACCTCCCCCCCCCCTCCCCACCCCCCCACCCCCGCCCCCCACCCACCCCCTCACCCACCCCCCAGACACCTCCCGCCTCTCCGCCCCCCACCCCCCCCACTACCCACCTCCCCCCCCCTACACCACCCTCCACTCCCCCCGCCCTCCTCCCTCTCGCCCACCCACACCCCGCCACCCAAACACCCCCCCCCTCCCCCCCCCCCCCATCCCCCCCCCCCCCCGACCACCCCCCCTCCCCCCCCTCCCCCCCCCCCCCCCCTCACCCACCCGCACCCCCTACCCCCCCCCCATCCCCCCTCACTCCCCTACAACCAGCCCCCGCTACGCTAGCGTGTGTACCGGTGCACAGCCTTGTCTGATACCCCGGCTGATCTCGAATCCAGGATAGCGAACCCCCTGCAGCTGGATCACGCACACATTGTCCATGCAGAGGATCGCAATTGCGTTGAGGAGCCAAGGGGGCCAGCCCAGCTTCGCGAAGAAACGCAGGAAGAACGCGCGCTCGATGGAGGGGAACGCGGCCGCAAAGTCGTAGAAGAGAGCCACCCCGGCTTCTCCGCGCGCCCCCTCTTGGACCATGGCCTCGTCGATGTCCAGGACATTAGCGAGCATGGACCGGCCCGGTAAGAAGCCCCGCTGGTCCTCGACGATCTTCCCATCCACCATCGGCTCCAGCACTAGACGCACTGCACTTGCGAAGAGGCGGTTGTCACAATTAGTGACGTTGAGTGGCCGCGCGCCGCTGGCAGCGAAGGCGGGGACTCCATGCTCGGTGGCGCCCGCGGCTTTTTTCGGGAGGAAGAAAAGCAAGCTCTCGTTGAAGTCTGCATAATGCTCTCGAAGCGCCTGGGGGCCATCATCCCTTACCAGGTCCTGGAAGGCCGCGTAAAGCCCATCGACAGCTGAACTTCCCAAAGCCCGCCACGCCCCGTAGGGGGTCCCATCGGGCCCCGGAGCCGAGTTGTTGGTCATCTTCAACGCCCGGGCGATGTGCTTCCGGCGCAGCCGCACGTGCCCGAAGTCATCGTGGCGAGGGCCATGCGCAGAACGGTGGTCGGCATCTTCCTGGAGCCAAGTTTCCAAGCGCGCTTCGTCAACCCCCCTAGCCTTGAACACGCCCGCCCAATGGCGGCCGAGCTCGGCCGCCATATCGCAACCATTCGTGAGGAACTGACCGTTTCTCCCCACCACGGCGCCGATCGAAGCAGTACGACCTGGAGCCAATTTGAAGAGGAGTCGGGAACCTCGCTGTCGGCGGCGCCGGGCCGCCAGCTGGTCTCCCCGCTGGGCCTCTTCCTGGGCCTGCTGAAGCTGCTCCATGGCGACATCCCTGGCGAGTTCAGCGGCGTGGTCTTTCAACGACCTCAGGCGGCGAGATAAGTTTCCTTGCAAATCGTAGGGGTTGTCGACCATCTGGCCGATTGTTGGGTAACGCTGAAGACATTGAGAACTTGCCCCGAGGTTTCCTTGCTCGATGGCCCGCAAACACCGCATGACCACCCCCAATTTGTCGGCGAAGCTGTCCGCCTTGGCGTACTCACCCACATGTGCCCCGAAGTTGTCCGACACCTCCCGCACAGCCTGCTTCAAAAGCCGAAGACGTAGAATCGCAGGGGCGTCAGGCTGTTGTCGGAGAAGTTCCTGGTAAGCCAGCTGCACGCGACGAGGGAAATCAGGATGGGAGAAAGTTGACTGCGAAATAGGTCGCTGAGAATCGTCCCAACGTTGAGGCAGACGGCGAGCAGCAAGAACAGGGCGATGATCAGACAACGAAGGACACCATTCCAGGGCGGTGACCTGTAACTCCCGGTCGATCTGTTCCGCAACGTGTTGATTGAAGTACAGCCGGTCCAATCGTGAAGAAGCGCTCGGAGACTGGTGGGTCATCTCCGGCTGAAAAAGCTCGGATAAGCCGAGCGGTCGACAGAGAGTTTGAGCAAAGTGCCTCTCCTCAGCGCCATCTCGAGCGCCAGAGGGTTCCATGGACTGCGTGCTGCGCCGGTCCTCCGTCGTGGATGCCCAGTTGAAGTCCCCCCCTACCACTGTGAGGGCCTCCTCCTGTGGTCTGAGGGCCGCAGCAAGACGAGCACGAAGATGCTCCCGAAGGCGAGGAAAAGTTGTGCAGCTAGCCAGCGCAGATGCGTGCACGCCCACCAGATCCAGCTCCGAGATCACACTCCCGGTGGGGAAGTAAGAAACCACCAAATCCAAATCTCCGGAAGAGCCCCGGAGCGATAAGATTGCAGCGCGGCCAGGCCATACGACCTTCCACCGAGGTGCCCGCTCGAAATTATTCAGGAAGGTGTCGTTGATCACGATGCCCACTCCGGCACGACCATTGCTTGGCCCTGCAGACCACCAGGCCGATGATCCGATGGGAGGTCGCCAGGCCTTGTTGCCCCCGTCCGTGCCATGCGTCTCCGTCAACAGGACGGCGTCGGCCCGGGACAGAAGCTTCTGGAGGTGAGCTGCTTTGGCTAAAAAACGGAGCTGGTCTGCACAAAAAAAAGCCTGGGCGTTCCAGGTTGCCACGCTGAAAGCGCCTTGAAACTGCCCCTGCCGGGAGGAAGAGGAGGAGGAGGAGGAGGAGGAGGAGGAGGAGGAGGGAGGCGGGGGGGCGAGGGAAGCAGGAAGAAGCGGGGACTGTGGCAGGGCGCCCAGCGCTCGCATCAGGCGCTGGCGGCGATACACGGAGCTTGGCAGATCCAGCCTGAGAGCGGCCGCAGGGTCCTGGGGGAGGACGTCCGCAGCGCCGAAACAGAACGGCGGTAGAGGGGGGCGCGTCCAGTCAGAGCAAAACACGAGGTCGCCGGACGAGGCCGAATTAGAAGCATAATGCTGATTAAAAAACTGAGAATTTAACAAATTATCAGAATTGGAGTGGGGGCACTGCGAATCGGACAAACTATCATTGGAATTAAACGTGGGATCCAGCACAGAATCAGCGTTACAGTGGAGGGGAGGGCCCGAGAGGCCGACAGAGTCAGCGGCAGGAGCGGGGATATGGCAAAAAAGCGAGGGCAAGACCACAAGAGAACTCCGGGGAGGGTCGCAGTTGCTCGTCCCAGAGTGAACTGGGAGGAGGGACCAAACCAACTCCAGAAGAAAACCTGCGGCCCCTTCAGCGTCCCAAAAACGAATTGAAGGCGCATGCGCCGAGCATTGAGGAGTCCAGGGAGGAGGGGCGCTCACGCCCTCCCCCGGCGGCCGTTTCCCGGCACGCCGCGGCTGTCCACCAGGTCGTTGGAGACCTCCACGCCGATGCGGTCCGAGCCCACCTGCAAAACCTGTCCATGGAGCGCGGTGTACAAGCGCCTCACCTCCTCGGCGCTCGCGAGCAGGACCCGCATGCGCCCTGGGAGGGCAGATGTGTCCTGGGAGGCCAGGTGGATGAATTCCCCGGGCTTCGGGCGCCGCGTGTAGTCGGTCTCCTGCAGGGAGAGACCGGTGGCAGTGCAGGCGTGCGCCATGAGCAGCCGCAGCACTTCACCATCTTCCTGCCCGATCTCGCCGCGCACCATCACCTCGGCGACGAAGTCGTGCTTGGAGATAGGGGCCGTTCCGCGCCTCCTCGAAGCCGCGAGCCCCCGGGAGGTGGCAGAAGGGACAGCCACCACCTTGCCCCCGTACTTGGACGATTTCCACCTCAGCTTCACGGAAGTCTCTTCTGTGTCCATCTGCATGACGTGGTCCATGGCTCGAGTCCAGGCGTCGGCGTCCCTGGAGGGGTATATCACAGCCTTGGTTGGCGTGACGCTGACCAGTTCCGTGCAGAGGGGCCAGTATTGAGAGAGCGCCAGCGTGGACGAGAACTCGAGGATGAGGGAGTCCGAGTTGGCGATCATGGACCGCATGCCGAAGAACGTGTCCCCTGCCAAGGCCCCCCCCCGGGACCGACGAAGGAGAAGAAGCACTTCAAAATCAGGAAGCCCAGCCGGGAGGATGCAATCGAGGATGATGCGCGGTATGGCCACAGAGCTGGAGGGGCTCCGACGAGGAGCGCGGGCAACCACCCCTCGGAGCAGGAAGTGGTTCAGAAGCTTGAGGGTGCTCGCAAGCTCGTCCGCCCGCATGTCGATCGCCAGCGTGCGCGGCTCCGCCACCGTCAGCAGAGGCTGATAAGGTTCCAACATCCTCGGCGGGGCGCGGGGACCCTCGAAACCGATCCTGAAGATGGCCAGACCTTGCCAAACATGGCGAGGAAAAGCGCCACCAGGCAGGAGCATCTCCATCGGGGTTGCGGTGATCGTGACTTCCCGCAGTATCGTGGCCCACTGCGGCGCCAAAATGGGCGAGCTCCACAAGTCCAAAATGCCCTCAACGCCGTGCATGCCCTGCTGGATGGGGATAGGGGCGATCAGCACCAGCGACGACGGCCTGTCAGCAGGGTCGGGGCGCTTCTGGAACTGCCGCAGCAACCTCCCGAGTGCTGAGGCGTCCTGCGGGGCCCAGATGGCCAGAGACAGCCCTCGAGCAAGCGTCCACACCTTCTCGTCGCCCTTCTCCGCCAGGGCCGCCACCTGCCGGGCAGCTTCGATATCCGCTGGGGTCTGCACGGATGTGCCCAAGAGGTCGGACCACTGCGTCCCAAGGCGACCGCCAGGAAGGGCAGCCTGTACCAACTGATAGGCCGTGGTCCCGAGCTCCTTGTGAAGAGGGAGCTGGGGCGCACGAAAGCGGCGACGTTGCACGATGGCCGAGGGGAGGACCTCGGAGCAGTGCATGGCAGCGAGCGCGAAATTCTCCGAGAGCTGCTTCGCCTGAATCACCTCCTCCGCCTTCCAAGTTGGCGCTGAGGCCAGCGAGCAGAGGTACATCGCCGTCCGCTTCCTGTCCGTGATGCTCAGCCTCGTGGGCTCAGGGCCCTCCATGAGAGCCAGTCCTAGCATGAGCCAGGGGTCATCGCTGCTTGGAGCGTAGGCGAGCTTCTCGAGGTACTTGGTGAGGCTCACGTAGTCGGTGGGGTAGCGAGCTGCTGGGTCCCGCGCACTTGCACAAGCGGCAGTCCAAGCAGAGTATTGCCGGATCTCGTTCTCCAAGAGGAATGTGGCCATCTCCTGGTGCTCGTTGTCCATGGCCTCTCCTGCGACAGCGTCGGCGGCCTGGGTGCCCGAGGAGATCTCGTCAACGTCGATCGCCACCAACTCGGCGGCGGCAGGAGCGCCCATCTGCAAGGTAGCGATGCCCTGCGTGGCGCCGGTCTCGTCGGCCGTGGAGTCCATGCTGTCGCCATCGGCAGGGCCGGACCAACC